TGGAAAGGTTGATGAGGTGGTGGTGATGCCCTCACCCAAACAGCTGCTACGGGAGGCTAAGTAGACCATCTCTGCACATTAGGCGGATTAGATTCTTGTCAGTTCATACACAGCCACAGACAGACATAGAAAAATAGATGTATTCCGTTATCATGTAACTAAATATACTGGTATGTAAAGAGGTGCACTTAGTAGTTGGATGGTGAGCAAAGGGCGGGGGGTTTGGGGGTTGTTGAAGATGTCCCGATCTCAAAGTATATCTTCAACGCTTACCACGTGGAAGAGGCAAGTTGGACTCTAACGGGACTCATCCGGAAGGTGCACCACAAAGGGATTTATTGATGGTATAGTCAGATGGGCCAATGAAATCTTTTTGGTCAGTTGAAACTTCCGTTACATACAACTATCTCCTCGATTCTAATCTCGCACAGTACATGCTTGTCCAGTCGCAAGGGTGGCCATTATTGGTGGACGACGTACTAGATGTCCTGGGAATTATAAGCCTCCACAACATCAAATCCAGCAGAAATACACGCAGAAGAACGAAAGTCACATATCTCCCTAAGGTTTGCTTAAGTAATATTTCCGGCAACGGCTGCAGTAAACGCTACCCTAAAGCTTCTTCGACCCTCTGCTAGGAGGAAGGCAACAGGTTAGGGCTAATACTATGAGTGGTATTTCGAAGTTACAATATAGCGCCTGCTTCATATGTCTTACTTTTATTGTCCCGGCTATATTACATACAACTCGGTGCAGGACAGTTGTCAAAAGGCAGCACAAGGACGAAGGTGCCACGGTTATAAGCGGCATAGTCATCGCTTCCTCCAGAATGTTCGTCCATATGCTTATTAGCTCACTACTACGGGGTAGCCTTGTCCACTAATGTATTGGGTAAGTAATTACTAAAAGTATCTGCGTTATTTTCTGAGATTAGCTGAGGGAAATAGACGACAGTGATGTGGAGTCAGTTAACGTATATACATGTGATACTGAAACATTTTTGTCACATATTTGATGATCAGAGTCGTGGATGAAGCAACGTAGTAATCATGTTGCTGTAGATTGTGTAACCATCAAATACATTATGCGATGAGGTTTCCTTCCGCTGTTTCGAACAAACACCATCACTATCAGTAAATCATGTAAGATCGAGTAGACATAATTCCTAACTTTAGCTGAATATGGTAAAAAATCATTGCATGGTCCTGTTACACCACCACCATCCGCCCGAGAAAATACCGATTGACCACGGCACTAGCGACAAGCCACAGCGCTTACAGCCGCATCCTCAAATCTCACACGTGGTGAAAATAAACTTCTGACCAGGGCGAATCCCTAAAGTAGCACAAAGCTCGCACAGACCCCCTCCCATTACATTTCCAATCGGTTGGTCATACAAATTCATGCTTTTCTCATCGCTTTACCCCTTGTTCGGCCTTCTTTCCGAGTCATGGGGACATCTTTCGGAGACATTGGGGCAATTTTCCTCCGGATGCTGAATAATTCCCGGTGGAACCACGATGATGATTTGCCGAATGAGTGTCCATCAGTGGAGCCATAACCAACTTGGCATAAAGCCAGTTGGAGGCTGAGGATCCCCGCGAAGCTTTCCATGCCATTGATTTGAGCCACACTTGGAGACCCAGAAAAAGTCAGACCATTAATCGGAGACTTCGCCCGATGCGGCAAAGATGCAGATTCTTGTCGATGCCACCTTAATCAGTATACCTCCACTTTTTGGATTTCAAATCAATTTCCACTCGCTTCTATTCCCCATGGGTCCGTATAAAAGCGGTATTCCTCTCATTTGAGTCTCCATCTACTATCTTATCCTTGTCTATACCTAACTACGTATCCCCTTTATTAATATTATCCTTTACGACATCATGACTGTTACCACCGATCTTGTCAACCACCCTGCTCAGGGCATCTCCTACTTCACACCCGCCCAGAACCCCCCCGCCGGTACCGCAGCCAACCCGCAAACCAGCGGCAAGCCGGTCCCGAAGCTCTTCCACCCGCTCACCATCCGCGGCGTCACCTTCCAGAACCGCCTTGGTGTATGTACCCAACTTCTCATTATCCTCATAATTCAAAAACTAACCAACAACCGGTATTAGCTCGCCCCTCTCTGCCAATACTCCGCCCAAGATGGCCACATGACCCCCTACCACATCGCCCACCTGGGCGGTATCGCCCAGCGCGGTCCCGGTCTCATGATGATCGAAGCCACCGCCGTGCAGCCCGAAGGCCGCATCACTCCCCAGGACGTCGGTCTGTGGAAGGACTCGCAGATCGGCCCTATGCGCCAAGTCGTCGAATTCGCCCACTCCCAGAGCCAGAAGATCGGTGTTCAGCTCGCCCACGCCGGTCGCAAGGCCAGCACCGTCGCCCCCTGGATCTCCGGTACCGCCATGGCCACTGAGGAGCTCGGCGGCTGGCCCGACCGTGTTATCGGACCCAGCGATATCCCCTTCGCTGACTCTTTCCCCAAGCCTAAGGCCATGACCAAGGACGATATTGTGCAGTTCAAGAACGACTGGGCTGCTGCTGTGAAGCGTGCTATTGAGGTCGGCGTTGACTTTATTGAAATCCACGGTGCTCACGGTTACCTTATCTCCTCTTTCTTGTCGCCTGCTGCCAACAACCGTACCGACGAGTACGGCGGTTCCTTCGAGAACCGTATTCGTCTGCCTCTTGAGATCGCCCAGATCACTCGCGACATCGTCGGCCCCAACATGCCTGTCTTCCTCCGTGTCTCCGCTTCCGACTGGCTCGAGGAGACTCTCCCCGAGCAGAGCTGGGGCACCGAGGACACTGTCAAGTTCGCCAAGGCGCTGGCCGACCAGGGTGCTATTGATCTGATTGATATCAGTACCGGTGGTGTGCACGCCGCTCAGAAGGTCAAGTCTGGTCCGCTCTTCCAGGTCCCCTTCGCTGTGGCTGTCAAGCGGGCTGTCGGCGATAAGTTGCTGGTGTCGGCTGTCGGTGCTATCACAAACGGTCGCCAGGCTAATGACTTGCTTGAGAAGGATGGTCTAGATGTCGCTCTGGTCGGTCGTGGATTCCAGAAGGACCCCGGTTTGGCCTGGACTTTCGCCCAGCACCTCGACACTGAGATCTCCATGGCGAGCCAGATCCGTTGGGGATTCACTCGTCGCGGTGGTCGCGAGTTTATCGATCCTAGCGTTTACAAGCCTTCCATTTTTGATGCTTAGATGATATAGTGTGGTGATGCTTAATAGACTGTACATAGAATAGACATGACATGCCCGACTCAACCATCTCATTTGTTTTCATATGCCATTAATCCTATACAATCTATAATAATGACCAGATAACTTCACGCTACTTGAAATAGAACGTTCATAGAAGGGACATCCCCCATACCTATATTCCCCTCATCTTATACAATCTATATCTTATCCACATTCCCTCATCGCCCCACAATAGTAATAATCTTACAACCCCGGCGTCTCCGCAATCCTAAAAACGTACTTCACGGCGCTCGCCTTCCCATCCATCAAATCCTTCATCGCGCCCTTCACGCCCTCCAACCCACCCTCCCTAACCTGCCAGGGATGGCCCTTGAACCGCCCATCCTTCAACGCGCGACTAAACCACCGACAAAACACATGACACAGATCCCGACAATCATCCACCCCATTGGCCTTCTCATGCGCCGCATTCACCCACGTATTCGTCGACAACAACCCGGGCAGATCCTTGGGATCCCGGGGGAGGACATGGTCCACTTGTCCTCCGGGCGTGACTACCTGAGTGAGGACGTGTGCGCTGGTGGCGTCGACGATGGTGTCGAGGGCGTTTTTGATGTTCAGGTTCAGGGATTTGATGGAGGCGATGGTGGAGTCGGTGCCTGGGCGGTAGTCGATCACGGTGTCGCCTTTGCTGGGGTCGAGCAGGGATTGTACGTAGGGGGACCCGCTGCCCGCGATGGCGATGATCGGGTGGATGTTGCTGGCGCGGAGGAGCTTGATGGCGAAGGAGCCCACGGCTGTGCTACCGCCGTAGATAACGAAGGGGGTCGGGGTGGTCGTGGCGCTGGGTGGGGACCATGGGGTGGGGAGGGCGTGGTGATGGTGGAGGGAGATTACGGCTGTTAGGGCTGCGAGGGGGATGGTTGCGGCTTCTGCGGGTTGCAGGGTGGTTAGTGCTGTTCTGTGGATGGAGCTGGGGGTATGGGGATGGTACCCTCGAAGGAAACGCTCTCTGGCAGGTGGAAGGTGGTGTGTGCCCAGGCCACGGCGTACTCGGCGTATGAACCACCGGGCTTCATCATCTCGTGGAATGCGGCGACACGATCGCCTTTCTATGTTCATTGAATATGATTAGCATGCGCATGCGACATGGCACATGTTGTGTAAGGTATACCTTGAACTCCACCACGTTCTTGCCCACCTTCTCAACCACACCGGCAATGTCATCGCCCTGGTTCACGCCGTCGCGGAACTGCGAGTATCGGGAGTACAGAAAGCTGTTCGGGTCATTGGCCAATTCGGCGACCTTCCAGTCCTTGGGGTTGGAGCCGGACACGACCACCTTGATCAGGACTTGGTCATCGTTGATGCTGGGGATGGGCGAGTCAATGAGCTTGGTGCTCGGGCCGGGGAGGTTGATGATTTCCTTCATTTTGATAGTTAAATGTAGGAATAAGGAACGGACTCAATTGGTATGGAAATTGGTGAATAGGGTATACATATATAGAAGCTAGTATGGACAGGGGTGCTGTCTAGTGCTAAGCTCCGGGGAAGTGAAGAACATTATTAAGCAGGGTGGGGATACCTGATGTCATGAGTTGTTGAATGTTGAGTTTCATGACTCGGGCTCGGCATTCCAGAAAATTAGAGCTGAACAATGCCGGATAGAAGGACTTCCGAACCCGTTGGCCCGTGCTGCTGGTGATTGCTAATGTTTATTAAAACCTTCCATGTATGTCCATTGTAGTCTATAGATCTTCTAGTCTATATCTATTCTGTCCACCACATTATGCACATAATAATAACGTCCAATCCAAGAAAGAAACTCAAAGCTTGCTTGGCCGCTCGTTCTTCAGCACCGCGGCATTCCACGGGTACGGATCGAACACCAGATCATTGACCGGGTTCTCCTGGCTGGCCCGCCGGAAGAGATCTGGGTACACTTCACCATCGTACTTGCCCAGGCTGCTGTCCAGCTGCCAGTCGGGGATCTTCCACGAGTCCACCAGGCGCACCGCATGCGGGCGGATCTCGTCCAGCAGCTTCATCACCGCATTGGTCTGCGTCAGGCCGATCTGTCGCACTGTCACCGCGCTAGACGAGAAGAACTCGGATGCCTCACGCTCCAGCGTGTGCAGGGCATACAGACGGAACAGCTTGTGCAGGATGCCCGTGGTCTCGGGGTCCAATGCCCCCGTAACTTGGGGAGACGTCACCGCCTCGTAGAAGTTCTTCACCACCAGGTACTGCGAGTGAGCCGTGGACAGGCGCCAGAAGTCGACCAGCAGGCTGTTCCAGGACCGCTTCTCAGCATCACGGTGCTTCAGCGCCTCGAATGTGAGGTGAGCCGTCCGCCAGGCAAAGGCAGCCACAATGTCACTGTCATTGCCGAGGATGTCGAACGAGGCACCCTTGTCGCGGCGCGAGAGGTATGCCTGCAGAATGCGGGATGTGTCGTTGTTGGTTCCCTTGCCGGCAAGGACAGCACGGGCAGATTTGAGAAGCTATGCACGTTAGTTATAGAAGGTTATTTAAGAAAGCGGGTGACTTACGTATCTCGCCACCTGCTGTGTCAACATGTAGTTGTCACCCTCCCAGGTGAGCGTGGGCAGGTAGTCCGAGTACCACGGTCCAATGCCGCTGTAGCTGCTGTAACCGTGTCCACCACAGGCACGACGGCATACTTCGAGACCTTCACCTGCCGTCGTACTGGCCAGGGCCTTGAGACCACACGAGGTAGCATGCAGATCAGCCAAGAGATCGGCACCAGCCCGCAATTCCTCCGGTCCAGCACCCCGCTTCTCCTGGGCGGCTTGGGCGGCTGCCTTCATGCGGTTCTGGTTCTCCTGGTAGAGTCGCATCATTCCACGACCGGTAAAGTGCAGAGCATACATAGATGCCAGCAGGGGCAACAGCCGGACCTGCACCATCTTGTAGTTCAGCACCTGGTTCTCGCCCACATTGCCTGTGGCATCACGGTCCTGAAACTGCCTGCGTACGGCGCAGTAGCGAGTGGCAATGGTCACACCACGTGCCAGGACACCACCCGCCTGTAGCACAATGTTGGAGCGCACCCAGGTCAGAGTGCCATAGATGAGAGACGGCGACGCAGGACGCATGTACTCGTTGGTGTCCTTGTTAATGCGCGAGAAGCGGGCCAGCATGTTGATATGAGGGATCTTGACCTTGTTGAACAGGAGGAAACCATTGTCCATGGTGCTGAATTGGTCAGTCATAGTCACAACGCATCGGTCAGACCACTTACTTGTAACCGAACTTGGGACCAATGTCTCCCACGTAGACGTTCTCCAAGGGTTGATGTGTGTTCATGTCACGGATCTGGACCACAAATGGATGGGGGCCATAGTTCTTGCCGCCAATGAACAGCTGTGCCATGACCACAGCGTGATTGGCAGTGCGACCCAGCGATCCGATCCACCACTTGGAAGCCGTCAAGGTGGGAGAGTGGATAGTGAAGGTCTTGTCCTCGGGGTTCCAGGTGGCGGTGGTCTCCAGTCCACGCACATTCGAGCCGTGGCCCAATTCCGTCTGTGCATAGCATCCCAGTATTTGATAGTTCTGTGCCGGCTCGAGGAAGAGTTTGTGTTGCTCGGGGGTACCTTGTTCCCGCAAGGTGACCTATCCGCAGTCTTCATTAGCTTCTGAATAGAGTAGCGCGAGACAACGAAACGAAAACGGAACATACCAAAAACATAGATGCATGCAATCCATAAGGAGTGGGCTCTCCAAGCAATTCATTGGCAGCATGTAGCTCCTCCTGCGACCATTTGTGTTCCACCGACAACTGCTGCAGGCGCTTGGCTTTGGCTAGGGACCGCTGGATTCGCTCCGTCCGGCCCTGCGTGTGATTCTGTGACTTGTCGAAAACTTTCTCCGCCTGCAGGATAGACAGCAGGTGCTCTTGACGAACCAATGCCTCCTTGGTGTGCAGCAATTCGGCCAATTTGTCCACAGCGACATTGGACTGATCGCGCTCGTGCTGCAGAAGCTGCGAGCCCTGCGGGTCGGCCGGCTTCAAAGCCTTGACCCAATCCGGTGGTGAAGATGGCATAATGATAGTAGTAATGATAGAGTGGAGTTTGCGGGGGAGGAGAACGTGGGAAAAAGAAGAGAGAAAGGGTAAAGTGTTTGGGGGGCGTGAAAGACGTTATAAGCGGTCCTCCACGGGGAAGCCGAAATGATGATTTCGGTCGAGAACTCCCGTCGATGGGCGCTGGGCCTGCCCCTTTGGGTAATAGCCGAGGCTTCTTAGGGGTTTTGGCCTCGATGCCTGAGTGGCCAATTCCCGGTGACCGACTGACCGCCTGCTGCGTCACTGGGTTCTGCCGCTCGGCTGACACGTTTCGGGGTTCCCCGGTAATTTTGCCTGCCGGAATCATCTTATCTATTCTCTTTCCCTGCCTGGATCCTCGGGCATCCCTGGCGATCTGATATCTGAGACCTAACTCATCCCGACCCGACTTACATGCACAGTCAGACAATAACCCGGGATGGAATAGAATCTCTTCGATGGACAAAAACTGCCAGGTAACTGCCTCTACGAATTTCAAGTATTTTTGTCTTGATGTCTCAGCCGCGTGCTTTAGCCGTGTACCACTAATGCCGGCATATCCGCCTGATGAGATGGACTTTCCTCACCAGCCTTCTAATGCGGTGAGACGGAATGCTTGATTGTTCTGGGTCATCAGAATGGCGTTGCATTATACTTCACATGTGCTGTCCATATGCCCCTTCCATGAGATTCATAAAAATGGCCACCCCTTCTATATTCTCTGCGGCTCCACTCTCACATGTGAGAATCTGGGTGCTCCGTGTTCCCCGGGTTGAGAACCTGATCCAACTTTGGTGTCATCAACAAGAATCCACATGCCAGCCACATGACTTGCTTGTCCACTACCTGAAACGCTCCAATCAGCTGCTCGCGCGGACTGCGTCCTGCGACAGTTCACCTGCTCCCTTTTGCCCGCCTCCGTATGTGTCCGCATATCGCGCCAACATCCACTCCTCCACTGTTATCGGCGGGTATTTCGCCGCCTCCGTCTCCGCCTTGCAGCTGGGAATGCACTCCACCACGTAGTCCAGATTCCCGGATATAAAATATGGCACGCTGTATCGTTCTTGTCCGCTTCTGTTGATAACCCGATGCAAGTTGGATATATAGCGATCGTTGGTCCAGCGCATCAACATATTGCCTAGGTTCACCACGAATGCCCCTGGAACGGGCTCGGCATCCGCCCATTCGGATGCCTCGCGGTCCCACACTTGCAGACCCCCTTTGTCATCCTGCAGCAGGATTGTGAGGCCGCCAAAATCAGTGTGAGCCCCGATGCCTAGGACTTTCGTAAGCAGGCATGTTTGCACCCGTGGTTGAGATCATACCTCGTTCCTGACCATCCGTTTCCTGGGGCGGATACCGCACTAAGCGTATAATATTGGCCGAGTCGTGACAAAACCCATTGAACCAATTCTCATTCAAGTCGAGCGTTTGAGCCAACACCTGGAATATCTTCAGTCCTAAATCGGACATCACCGCGTGGTAGTCTTTCACCGTATTCCGGAACAGATCTGGATCTCGGATCTCATCGGGATATTTATTAGACCCTTGAGAAAATCTTCCGGTGGAGGGATGCCCTGGAGGCAGATCTTGCGACAGGTAATAACTCTCTTTCAGATCGCCAGGCCCTTCTTTCTCGAATTTCTGCGAGCGAAGGCCTTCGTATCCCAGATTAACGGGCTCAACCTCTATTCCAGCGTTAGTGGCCAAGATCGGCTTTGCCAGAAGCGTCAAACTCTGCATGAGATTACCTCGACTGTACTTCTGCTTCACTTCAATTGGTAAGCTGAATAGGCCCCGAGCCTGCTGAAGCATAGCCTCTTGGATATCAAGCGGGACTCGATGGTTGATGAGCTGAAAGAATCCATGTCTCTCACAGGCGTGACGGACTTGCCGCACTAGCTCTGCCTTTTGCTCGGCATCACCGGTGTAGAATGCTATGGTATGTGAGTCTGGGATAGATATATTGTTGCAGTTATTGTGGAAATATATGGTCAGAACGTACGCTCAAAGTCGATGATGGGAGGTGCAGTGACCATTGTTTCAGAAATGTGATGAGAAGGACAACCTCGGGAGATTGTCTTGGTGAGGCAAGCGGGGTATGAGGCCAACTCGACAGCTGCACCACTCGTAGGTTAGCTTGTGTCCTGCATACTAACCGATCCCTGTCAAGGCGAATCAGGAACAGCGATGATGGAGAGGTACGACCGTTAGAACGCCGTCCGTGTCACTTCGGATACATCGAGATGCTCTGCATGCCGATACGCCAATACGACTCTTCCTTTGCTTTGCCAACCTGGAAGTATTTCCTTGATATCATTCTGCGTAGAAAGGCAAACGCCATATAATAGTCACTCAGCAAGTATCTGAAGTTCACACTCAAACAAGAAGCTATATAAACACATCAAAGGATAACTTGGTATCGTTAATCTAATGCTAATAAAGATTGCTAAGCATCATGCAACATCACAGTTTGGAGAGCACACCGTCTGGCTGGAGAACACATAAATGCCTTCTCTGGATTTCAGAAACCGACCGACATCTGGAATAGTTAGCATAGTACCTGTTGATAATCATACACATCAACTTACCCAGCGAGAGCCATCGTGATCATCAACTCCTGGCGCAATATCCGAATAGCAAGCTCCACTCCTTGCTGGCCATCATACTATAGCTGGTTACTAGAATGCTCACAGCAGCTACCGGCTTCAACTTACAGCAAGTCCCCAAATGGGAATCCGTCCCATGAAACAGTAGTCTGCCCCCAGAGCCAGGGCCTTGAAGATATCTGACCCCCGGCGGATTCCACCATCGATTGCGATCGGGATACGGCCCTTTGCAACGGGCGCGCAGTCGCGCAGTGCATCCAACGTGGCCGGGGCACCGTCTAGTTGGCGACCACCGTGGTTGGAAACAATAACCCCATCAACCTTGTGTTGTATTGCCAGTTCAACATCCTCGGGTGCATAGACTGCCCGTGTCAGCCAATCTAAGTTTGCTTCCATCTGGAGTGCTTCACTTACTGCCTTTCAACCAGATCTGAAGCTTGGTATGTTTCCTCAGCCAGGGGATCGCGCTATCCCAGTCAAGACTAGCATCTAGTAATAATCAGCGGCTCGTCCGACGGTATATACGAAAATTACCAACCATAATCTGTGCGATCGGAGGTATCGCTGCCATTACTGAGAATATTGGGATATTCCAGATCTTCTGGTAGCTGGTAGTCGTTGCGATACTCATTCAGCCGCTTCCCAAGCACAGGAACGTCCACCGACAAGAACAACGCTTTGTAGCCCGCCTTTTCTGCTCTTTCCAGTAACTGCAATGTGAGTGACCGATCCTTGAGCACGCACATCTGCATCGCATATGGATTCCCGCAGCCTTGACTGGCGACATCTTCCATCGAGGTGGTCGAGTATGAGGACAGGCCCATACATATACCGTATTTCGCGGCGGCACGAGAGGTTGCGAGCTCTCCTTCGGGATGGGCAAGTTTGTGCGCGGCTGCTGGGCTGAAACCGAAAGGAAGGGATACCTGTATAGTTGAGGAAGGGCATTAGCGACGATTCTGTGGTCTATTAGACTAATATGAGTGCTACCTTAGTCCCAAGTATGTCTGTGCTGGTGTCGATGTTAGCCACGTTTACCAGGACCCGTGGGCGGATTCTGTATCTGTCAAATGCGGCTTCGTTGTCGCGTAGTCTGTGCCATCAGTGATTTTTCGATAATGGTAGCCTCGAAGATTTGTGCCTACGTTATTAGGTCCATGGCACCTTCATTGTAGTAATCTAATTATCTCCAATGTTAGGGATCAACATTGCATGTTTCTCAGTGGTCAATTGCCCTACCTCTGACCATCTTTGGGAGCTTCTTGCTTCCAATCGCCTTTAGGTCGGCGATACAGCTGACATCCTTGTGGAATGTCTCTCCGCGATGAGCCATGCTGGCAATGAGATCAGTACAAGGCACCGGTTGATGAAAAAGCGTCAAGAGGAGCAAGTGTCAGGTTTCAATAATATTGAGTTATTCTGTAGTAGGGTATAATTGGACCTATATACCACATGTCGGTGTCGCCGACTTTCCTAAATTTTTGTTGTCCTGCGACCGCAGCTATTGCTTGACGCCGAAAGAGGAAAGCAAAAGATAACAACTCTCAGATACCTTCCCAGCGTGATGCTGTCGCAAAGCGCGGACACTCTGAATTCAACTGCCCCATGGCATTGGGCAAGTCCGTGCAGCGGAAAGCGTTATCAGCTACTATCCCCGGAATTCTATTATGGGGTGACGATCGTTCCTCGGAATCACCTACCAAATAGAAATATGCCCCTCAGAAAGAAGAAGTCTACCCCTCATCACATCATTTCAATTTGAACCTGATTATTTTACATGCCTCTTGTCAATTTCGTTTCCTTGTCCTGCACTATTAACTGTTGCATTCCTGCATAGTAGTCACAATGGCGAAAATCTTTCTGTACGTATACTCCCGTGATCTAACTTTGTCATTGCGATTAACGGTAGTTATAGCACAGGAGCCTCAGGCTATATCGGAGGGGATGTGCTCTATGCGCTGAAATCAGCCCTTCCAGCCTGCCAGTATACAGTCCTGCTGAGGGACGAGGCAAAGGCGCAGAAACTCTCTCAAGCATACCCTGATGTGCAAATAGTCCTGGGAGACTTGGATGCTTCTTCTACTTTGGAACAGCAGGCACGGGAAGCGGACATTGTCATCCGTGAGTATCGCACTTCGAGACATCCCCTGCCTCTTACTGACATTGGTCCGCTACTACTAGACACGGCAAGCTCAAACCATGTCAAAAGCGCTGAGGCCATCGCTCGTGGATTGACCGCAGCGGAAAGACCTAAGCCGGGTAATTACCTCTTACCTCCTTGTCCGTCCATAGCTTATCGTTTCTCATAATGCGAACAGGTCACTGGCTTCAGATATCAGGCGCAAGCGTCCTTTCTATTCCCGACATTGTAGCCAGCGCCTTTGGAGAACCTTCCGACAAGGTCTACAGCGACGTCGATGGAGCCGATGAACTGCGGGAGCTCATCCAACAATACTCTGCAAAGCGCGTGGTCGACAATTTAATCCTCAGCCTCACCCCTGCCGCCAATCGTCCGAAGACCGCGTTGATCTTCCCTCCTATTATTTATGGTCGGGGTAGAGGGCCGGTTAACCAGCGAAGCATACAAATTCCGGAGCTGGCAAGAGTGACAATGCAACGACGGGGCGGGATTCAGGTGGGTAAAGGAGAGGCCACATGGAGTAATATACACATCTCGGATGTTAGCAGCATCTTTGTGAAGCTGGCAGAGAAGGCTTTACGGGGCGAGGAAGGGGACTTGTGGAATGAGAACGGGCTCTACTTCCCGGGTACTGGAGCTATCGTAAGTCCCTACCTTCTGAACTTTTAGCCTGAGCCCAGAACGGGGTAATTTCTAACAAGACATAGACATTCGGTTCTATCTCAGCGCAAGTGGCGCAAGAAGTGAAGAAGCTCGGCCTTGCTGAATCCGAATCGGTTACTGAGATCAGTCATGAAGAGGCCGATTCGCTCACTTCTCATGGCGGAGTGTTATGGGGGACCAATGCCCAGCAGGTAGCCCAGCGAGCGGCCAAGTACCTGGGATGGGTCCCCGAGGGGAGGACATTGGAGGATGAGATTCCACACACTGTTCTTGCCGAGGCACAGAGACTTGGACTGAAATAGAACTATGTAAGAATTATTAGAGAACCAGGAATGAACCTATTGACACTTACGTTATTTGCCCACGAAAATCGACATGTCTGATTATCACGCGTAGAACCTGCTGTTATCAAGATCCCATCAGAACTGCAGGGCCTAAACCCAGGACAGCAGGTCCTTCCGACACTGCTCTGGTCCGAATTGGAAGGGGATTCCGGTTCGGCGGAACCACATTCCTCCCCGGTCGGGCCACACCCTCCTTTCTTGTGACCCACTACTAATTGATTCACTTTCCAGCTCTAACACAACATCGGCTCATACCCCATATTCTATTCGATTACTATACTTTCCGTTTTTGTTGATATGGCCTATTTCGACTGACATGGCATCCTCCAAGCAATCAGGTCGCCGGACTCGTCGCAGTCATGCCCTGGGAGCCTGCAGAACATGTCGTCGGCGTCATGCCAAATGCGACCAAAAGAGGCCTACTTGCCAGATGTGTCGGGCAACTGGCGTGGTATGTGAGGGGTTCGTCGATGAGATCCGATGGATGTCCGATCGGAAGTCCCAACCTTCTTCGGGGCCAGCAGCTGGCAAGGCAAATGATGCAGAGAAGCAGGGGCCTCGACGCCATCTCTACACAGGTTCTTGATCCTTCTCTATGATTGATTACCTGATTTCCATATCCAGAAATAGTGGAGCTAATATTTTGACCTTAGAGAAATCGAGGGTCTCCATGAGTGATGCCTTGAGTGCAGACTTGGTATCAGGCTCTATTGATGCCTCTTTGGCGGAGATCGAAAACAGATCCCGGGATGCCGAGAGACCTTCACACGGTGATGTTGTAGTCGGGCCATTCTCTGTGCTGGACTTTAGACTTACCGGCCCCAAATCTGCAAGTAGGGCTCAGCCTGCTGACGAGACTACGGTCGCAAATGATGTGGTTCTATCGTCCGGGAATACCCTGCCTGAAGGGGCTTCCGGGGTCAGCCCAGCTCTGTCGCAAGACTCGCTCGCCTACATGAATGATCTGCTGCAGTGGTCAGACATACTTAGCTTGGACCCTCAGTTGCATAGTGCTACACTATCTGGCACACTTGACCTGGGTGATTGGTTGCCCCTCGATTTAGTGACACAGGCCCCTATACTAGAACACAATCTCCTTGGCGAAGCGCCTAGTCTAATGGATGATACAGCTGCTGTCTACAATTCTGGCCCCGAAAATGACAGTGCTCCTAATATGATACCAACTGTTGATTGCAATCCACCCGATGTACTAGCAGATGCTCATTTCCTATTACGGCACTTTCAGGATCATGTCATATCGCGTATGATGGCCGTTCCTTTAGATCAGAAGTCACCGTGGAAGATACTAAATGTGCCGTCTGCTGTTGTAACATACAGCGATATCACTTTCCTCGGGTCTCAAAATATCACTCACGCTCGGTTGGCTAATCTTTACTGCCTCTTGGCCTGTTCAGCCCTTCATCTAACAGTAAACCCTTCCATGAGGACCTCAGACTCGACGGAACGCTGGAAGCCGGTAGCAGACTACGCTTACCATCTAGCCAAAGACCATATGCAAATGTCCTTGAAGCATGAAACGCAAGAGCCAAAGAAAGCCAAATACAAGGACCAGTTAATGGCAATCTGCGCCTTGACCGAGTTTGCTGTAAGACTGCTGTCAAGTCACGTTCCGGATAGATTGCTAACCGAAGCAGGTTCTAAGTGGCCAGCAGCAGGACGCAAGGTGCTACGTGATTGATGCTGAGCGACTGCTACGCCTCCGAGGTTTGCCAAAACAACGCATCTCTCAGAAAGCACGCCTGCTACACCACACATATACTTGGCTACGGATAGTAGGCGAGAGTACCTACGCTTTGCACAACTACACACCGTCGGACACCTTTATGGAGGCGCTCAAATATCGGTTTCGACACCAGAGAGTCGAGAACACTCAGGCAGCTGGTTACAGAACTTCACGCTTGGACGACTTCTTGCGCCTCGATCGGCGGCCGTCCGATAGTGACCTGGATATTGACGAGCCAAAGGAAGCTGATGTTGGCTTGTATGACATCCACCTACAAGATTCGCGAAGATATCCTGCCACGCTGTACAGCCAGATCTACGGAGTATCCGAGACGTGGCTTAGTTTGGTATCTCAGACGACGCGCCTGGCCAACGTAATGGAGACTTTTCGAGTTGCGCGCGAAATGCGTCCAGGAATCAGTGCAAGTCTCGAAGCATGGGAAGCTTTGCACCGGCGCAGTGCTCGCCTCGAGAGCATGGTTTGCACATTCGCCTCCAGAGGAACAGAGGACAACATATGCGGTTCGGCGAATACACTGGCCAGATTACATGGATGCCTTCTGCAGGCTTTGAACTCTGCACTGGTTATCTTCTTTTACAGACGAATTCGTCAGGTCCACCCGGCTATCTTGGAGAGCCAAGTGGACAAAGTGATCTCAGCATTAAACGAGTTTGATGTAGCATTAGTGGAAGCCGACCAGACTGGCCCGGGCACTGTATGGCCTCTGTTCATTGCTGGGTGCGAGGCTACAACGCCCGATAGGCGGCTATTGATCACGGCGCTTCTGGACAAAGGGGAGGCACGATGCGGATTTTCTGCCTACCAGACTGTTCGGGAGGTCATGAAACAAGTCTGGGACAGGCAAGATAAACATTTCACACGAAGCAGAGGAGAGGCTTTCCCAACTTGGCTTGATGTTGTCAAAAGCAAACAAATATGGCCCATTTTAGCATGATGACCACCGTGGGTCCATTACAAGGCGCTACACGAGATACGATGACATGTGCTCATAATTTCATTGTTCTATATCCAATTTTAATGAATCATGACGAACGCTTTACAACATTAACATTCGCATTCACCATCAACTGGGCGAGTTCGCTCTGCAGATCCTCCTTCAAGAGGGCGAATGGCTTCCGCAAGCCACCAGTCGCCTGGCCCCTCAGCTCAACGCCTGTCTTCACAGCCGCAGCGTAATTGTGCGACTCAAGGAACTTGCAAATGGGCCATGCCTTAGCCCATAGTTCACGGCCCTTCTTGAGATCTCCTTCGACGGCAACTGCATTCCACAGCTCTACCGCCAACTCCGGAATGATGTTGGCAGCACCCCAAACCGCTCCAGGCGATCCAGCTGCCAACCCATAGAACGTAAGGGTATCCCACCCGTTAAAAGCGGTGATCTGATCCGACAATCCAAACACCAATTCCGTGTATGCCGGCGCATTTCCGGAGGTGTCTTTGAGGTACTTGACGCCGACCTTGCTCAGGTCCGCTATTTGCTGGGGAGTGAGGGTCAACCCGCTGGCAGAGGGAATATTGTAGTAGACAATCGGCAGCTGACTGGCTTCATGAATCTCAGCCATGAGCTCGGTTAATTGCTCCACGTTCAAGGGGTCGTAGAATGGTGGCACAACCATCACGGCGGCTGCACCAGCTTGTGCGGCATGACGTGCCAGGTCCACTGCCTCCTCGGTGGAGGTACTGCCGGTGCCTGCTACGACGGGCACACGGCCAGCTGCGTACTCGACGCAGAGTTCGGTCAACTTCTTGCGTTCCTCGCGTGTCATGGTGGTGAATTCGCCCGTGCTACCGCCGGGCACGAGGCCATGCACGCCGGCGCCGATCAGGTGATCGATGTGGGATTTTAGTCTTGCTGCGTCGATCTGGGTCTTGTCGTCTGTGAAGGGAGTGATCAGAGCGACCATAATGCCGTGGAGGGCGGGGGATTGCTGTGTGATAGTCATGTTGGATGTAGTGGTGATTGCTTGGTATAGCTAGGAAGAAGAACGTAAGGATGGAATGAGGGGGTGTTGTTGGACTTGTGAGTGAGTTTTGAGAGCATTTTATTTCATGACGAGACGGGACTGCCTTCCCTCCCAACTACACTTCAAGTCTATACTACACTGTTAATGATGTTCTGGTCAATGGTGAAGCCCTAACTCTGTGGATAGAATGTCGGAGGGGTTCCAAGATATCCATGCCGGAACCACCTTCCTGATTTGGCGATGCCGGTAACCCAACGGAAGGCAGTTCCGGCGTGCAGTGGGGAGGGCTTTAGCGCATCCACTGGCGCCAAATTATCAATGCGTCTCGACATCAATGAAGAGAGGGGTAATGGGGCGATCTTATCCTCGTTATCGCCTTATCGGAAGAGACAATAGCTGACTAGTGACACACTTCAATTGCAAAGTGGGCTGCGCGGAGGCACATCCCACATCCGGAACAGGAAGTTCTAGCCAAGCAGCTTATATCAAGACAACACATCTGTCTTCGCGCACTTACTATCTCTAATTTCTGTCAGCATTGTTATCTTTCCACATTAAGACCAAGAAGAGAAGATGGCAGACTCCCTCTTTGTCGACATCACCACTCCCAAGGGCCGGCAATACCAGCAGCCGACCGGCCTGTTTATTAACAATGAGTTCCGTCCTTCGTCCAGCGGCCAGACTATAGTGTCTTTAGATCCTGCGTATGCACCTTACCTCTGAACTACTCTCAAACTTCCATGCTGACTTCTCCAGCACCGACAAGCCCATCGCCACTGTTCACGCCGCAACAGCAGAAGATGTCGACGCGGCCGTTCAAGCCGCCAAAGCGGCGCTATCACACTCCTCATGGAAGCTCCTCCCCGCCACCGAACGCGGACAGCTGATGGGCCGTCTGGCCGATTTAATGGAAGAGAACCGGGAGCTGTTTGCTGCTATTGACGCATGGGATAACGGTTCGCATATCCCTGTTTTTACCGCTGTGCGGAAACTGACTTGGCCAACAGGCAAACCCTACCAAGTCGCCCTAACCGAAGACCTCACCGAAGCCATCACCACCATCCGCTACTACAGCGGCTGGGCCGACAAGACCTTCGGCCAAACCATCAGCACTACTCCCCAAAAGTTCGCATACACTATCCGCCAACCCATCGGCGTGGTCGGACAGATCATCCCGTGGAACTACCCGCTCTCTATGGCGACGTGGAAGCTGGGTCCCGCGCTCGCCTGCGGAAACACCGTGGTCATCAAGGCCGCTGAACAAACTCCCCTCAGCATTTTGGTCCTCGCAACACTCATCAAGAAAGCAGGATTCCCAGCCGGAGTGGTGAACATCATCAACGGCTACGGGAAAGAAGCCGGTGCTGCGCTGGTCCAGCACCCGCTCGTCGATAAGATCGCTTTCACGGGCTCCACTGCCACCGCCAGAGAAATCATGAAGATGGCAGCCGGCACATTGAAGAACATCACTCTCGAGACAGGCGGAAAGTCGCCCTTGATCGTCTACCCGGATGCGGATCTGGAACAGGCGGTCAAGTGGTCGCATTTCGGCATCATGTCCAACAAGGGCGAGATCTGCACTGCTACGTCGAGGATCTTCGTGCATCGGAGTATTCTCACTACTTTCTTGGAGAAATTCAAGGAGGCAATTGAGACGACTTCCAAGATTGGCGACCAGTGGGACGAGAATACCTACCAAGGACCACAGGTCACCCGGGCACAGTACGAGCGGGTTCTCGCCTACATTGAGACGGCCAAACAGGAGGGCGCTACGCTAGTCACCGGCGGCAAGCCCTATACCCCTAAGGATGAAAAGAACGCAAAGGGCTACTTCATCGAGCCGACTGTGTTCACTGACGTGACTGACGACATGCGCATCTGTAAGGAAGAGGTGTTCGGGCCTGTGGTGGTGATTCTGCCATTCGACTCGGAGGAGGAATCGGTGCGTCGCGCCAACGATACCACGTATGGTCTGGGCGCCGCGGTCTTCACGACTGATCTGGAGAGGGCGCATCGCGTGGCGGCGGATATTGAGGCCGGGATGGTCTGGATTAACAGTAGCCAGGACTGTGATCCGCGGATTCCGTTTGGAGGTGTCAAGCAGAGTGGTATTGGGCGCGAGTTGGGTGAGGCGGGACTGGAGGCGTATTCGCAGGTTAAGGCGGTGCATGTCAATATGGGGAGTAGATTGTAGACTAGACTAGAAGGCAGTATGCTTTGATGAATAAATTATGATCATTTTCCAGGTTCTAAAATAAGATTGATTGTTCTCTGTTATTGGAGGCTGGGCGTTTTCTTGAAAGCGCAATTTTATGACTTGCTTCACAATGGAACTGATTCAAATACCTTGAATTGGCTTTGGAGGAATTTGGGCTGATACTAAACGAGTTTTGTTAAGTGTCTCCATTGCTATAATATGTGGTTTTTATAACTACTAATACTACTTAGTAGTTGTATGGACTCAGCTCCATAGATGTTGTGGAGCGCTTAGTATGTGTTCATGATGGTCCATGAGCAAATGAATATATTTCTGGTTCACCACAAACACCAAGTTTTATTTCTGCCGAAACGGGCTCGAGTAGAAATATTTACTAATAGGTCTGATCATGCATTTCAATCAGAAGACAAAAGAAAAGATGCGGCAAAGTAGAAAAATCGTATTTAGAGGTAATTAAATCTCTGTTTTATGCGACGCTACTCATCTAAATCCACGAGGCAGTTAAAAACGGTGTTCTTCCGCAGGGAGAATCAATAGCAGGCGGACAACCCCACTCTGGGGGCTATGGGGAAAAAGCAAAAAGAAATTGCTGTGCATCATCCGTGAATCGAACACGGGCCTCATCGATGGCAACGATGAATTCTACCACTAGACCAATGATGCTGGTGCTTGTAGTGCTTGGCAAATAAATTAACTAAGAGCCAATGAATTAGATGAGTAATTTACAGCCCGAAGACAAAACGAAGTGGATTAGGATGATCGTGATATGGAATAGTTGGATCGTCTTTCTAGAACTTTGAACTCTCTAATGTATTTCGCTATTGTAATCTTGACCATCCTGAAATGATTGCAAAGTAAGAAGATGACAACGGCCTGTAATAAAACCCTTGCAGACATACATGACTGAATCTATGCCTTACATCCATCTCAGACTTCTACCAAATCTAACAAATACACTAGGATTCTTGAACAAAGGAAGCATCCAAATAACCGCCGTCCACGCCGTCCACATCTTCCACGTCCGCTTATCAGCAACTCCTTCCCGAAGGAATATGATCCTCCCAGCAATGGCCATTCCCAACGCAACCGGGAGAACATACCCGGGTACGTCCAGCTCCCAGAAAGCAGGACAAACAACGGACCAGATCGCAACAGGAATCGCAACGGACCACCGGGCCGGCCCGTCACCCAGCACAATGGGCATTGTACGGCGGTTCTTGGCTCGGTCTCCTTCCACGTCCTTGACGTCCTGGATATGCATCGTCGTGCCGATCACGGCACTGGTGAGCCAAATCCACCGCCATGCTCTAGGGAGTATGTCGAATCCGGTTCCGGTCGCGACACGCAGTGATCCCTTGTTGTATTGACTGAATGCGAGGGCTAGAAGGACATTCCGTAGAATGAAGCCGTCGTCACCACCGCTCAGGTCATTGTATACCCAGTTCAGAGTGTAAAGAAGCGCAGTCTCCTCCCATGCACCGAGGTAGACGCTGAATCCAAGCACGAGTGGGATCGTGAGCAAGAGTAGCTGGCGAGTCTGTAGGATGCTGATCCGACCTGCGGGCAGTGGTCTCCAGGGTCGGTTGATTTTGTCTTCTGCCACGGAGTCCGGGTGCCTCTGATTCGCCAGATTGAACACGAACAGGTTTAGCCAGTTCCATAACATGACCATTGGTATTCGACAAACGACTGAGAGTAAGTCCGGAGTGTTCTCATCTGTCAGAAGAGGCCCGGACAGAGCAGCACAAATGCCAAATGCTGTCTCAGGAATGACAAATGTTGCAAAGTCGTCCGCAGTGAACAGCCAGATAGTCAGAGCCAGGTCTGTCCAGTACCATCCTTTCTATACGGTTGTGAGCTTTCTGAGTTGATGGTTATATCGAAGGTCACTCACTTTGTAAGCCCTTGTATTGCTCTGGCTGGACTTTACGACATCGCTATTAACTGAAGCACCGACAGCGCCAAGTAAAGACGTGCAAATCTCGTAGAAGCGAGAAAAATCAACAAGATCCATTTCTTTCTGCATATCAGACTTTGATCTGCTTCAACAGCAGAGACATGTCTACGTTGAAATTTTCGAAAACTACCTTGGAGAAGGCCCAGTCTCGGGTGCGTCGCACCCTTATATTCCTGGAATCAATTCATGTCAAAATCTTAGTGGGCACTATAATAGCCTCAGAGTCCACCTTTCAGCTCCTGTCTGCGAAATTTTTGCAGTGGCTGGCTGTCTCGATATTCAGCTAAACCTACGGTCAAAGCCGACGAGCTGGTGTATGATACCGATTCAAGCAAAACGACGAGGTTTGGGTTATCCTTGCCGATGGCGCCTTCTTGATACGGGCTGTAGCTGAACCATTGCACAGCTGAATAACGCCACACATGGTGTTGTCAGACGGGCGGAAGATAGCGCCGAGGCGGTCTTTTTATGCTGTCAGATAATATTCACCAGTGAAGTCAGTTGAATCCTCGGACCCAGTTGCCTGCGCCGTCTGGTGCAGAAGCCAAGGTCCTGGGGGCAGAAGTGGTCATTCGAGCCGATAGGCGGGAGGTGACAATAGGAAAACAGTGTCAGCACTAGCGTTGCGTCCTGACGCCTGACAATTTTGATCACTTATTCGACCTGATTGAAGCAGTGCCTTGTGAGAAAAATGTGTAGCACAAACTGTGTCATAGAGTGTTTACAACATTGCCAGCCAACCAACTTTTAGCCGTCGCATCAAAGGTACCCTCATCTTCGACGCTCGCGCCAGGCTTGTGCCTTTCTGCTCCCTCAGCAGCCGTCCAATATCCATGTAGCTCTCCACGGTTGCCCGAAGTGGCCCTCTTACACCACGAGGTAGCTCCTCAATTGCCTCTCGGCTGACCTGATAATATCCATCTGCTTTCTGCAGCATTCTCTCCTGCAGGCCATACATGATTGGGATATTAGGATGCTCTAATACATCTCCTGGAGTAAGGCCTACTTCATCCAGCCACGTTGTAGGAATATATACTCGTCCAATTGCTGCATCGCGGTGGATATCACGTGCAATATTGACACACTGCATGGCTTTGCCCATCTCCTTCGCCGCTCGTCCTAATCGCGGCACATTCTCCGTATAGTCATGGCCATGATGGAATAAGACAAGGTCGAGTACTAATGTACCCACCGCTCCAGCTACGAACCCTGCGTACCGGTCAAGGCAAGAGTCGGATCTGATCGGAGAAGCTCCCTTCTTAGGATCGAATGCCAAGTCGGTCTCGAACCCTTCCAGCAAATCATAGATAGAGCTCTCCGTCAAACGGGAGAGAGACAGGTGGCTCATTGATTGATATAGTCTCTCATACTTCTCCCCTTTGTTAAAAGCGTGACAGGTGTCGTGATGTAATTGGCCGCGATAGCTTAGATCTAGGAGGTGTTTGCACTCTGTAACCCATAATCCGGCTTCCCGTTCATCCTCAGCTTCGTCAATGAGGTCATCCATGACCCGACAAAAGGAGTACCTATGCATATTAGATGAGTTTACCACGCATGGGTTTGAGGGGTAATACAAGAATATGAGATCAATGCGTAGATGACCCTGGAATAATGCGCTACCGAGAAACATGCTCTGACTCTTCTCCTGCAGACGATATACGGCCTGGGACAATGCAGATATGAGAGATTCGTCTATAGAAGGCGGACTGCACAATAAAGACAGTGCTGTCCTGAGCGTGGTGCCCTTGTCTGCTGCTGGCCGTGTTAGGGACTTGTATTCTTGGAGCGCATATGCGTAATCAATCCCAATTAGTCCTAACACAATCATCATATTGGTGACCAGAAAAAAGAGCGCCTCTCTGTTACTGTTAGACTTGATGTCTAACAATCACAGGTGAGTTTGACTGACTCAACTTCGAGACCGCCGATCTGATAATCCAATTTTGTGCCACTCTCTATCCTCCAAGTCCCCGATTCCATAGCACAGGAATCTGCAACCCAGAGGTATAGCGTGGGGAGGCAGATCGCGGCGATTGTGGGCTTGCCGGGAAGTCCAATAAGAAAAGGATGGGACAACATCCTGCATTCTCGCATGAGCATTTCAATAGATTCAAGGTAGTCCGACCTTACCACTGGAAGAGCAGGATTGGGCAGACCCAGACCAGGATTAGGCCCAGGTAAGTCATATGCTGTCCCAACAGCAGGCACGCTATTCCACCACCCATCAAGGTTAAAATGACGAATGCTACCATATTTCTTGTTCTACATCTCCCCAGATGTGGCCGAAGGTACATGGGTCGCACAAGCGGCTTCGTGAAAATACAGTATGCCACACTCGTGATGTAGGTTTGTATGACAAAAAAGAAAACCTCCTCAACCGGAATATCAAGTATCTTGGAACCGACTACTGCGTCGGGCGGATAGGTCCAGATAGCACACCGTATCAGGTAAGAATCCCATGGAATTGTTGCGATGATGGAAATCTGTCAATCCAGGGTAAATCAGATCAGAGGTTCTTGGCTTTAAGGTACGGTCGAAATACCGTAATCAGGATGCATATTTTGCAACGGTCTTGCGCGGTGAAGAATGGGTAGTAGAGCACAGTCAGTGCCGATGCAGCAGGTATAGTGTAAGTGCAATGACTACTTGCGTACTTAAGATTAGCAGATGCAGAAAGGAGATTGGTAGTAAAGACGCCTCTTACAAAAGAATATAGTCGAGTCCCATTTTGCTTCGTACTCATCTAGCACTCTCGCATGACGAGCACCCCATGAGTATGGAACATATATCTGGCAAAGGGCGTTCGGCCCCTTTTGCAAAGTTCAGCCGAATCCTGTTTCATTGCCCTAGCTTCCGGATTGGAACCGGTTGCGGTTGCGTCGGAGCTTCATGTGGATTGGAAAGTTTGTTTTGTGATGCTAATTGCCCACTGGAAACAGGATAGAGTGGAGAATAACCACTTGGATGAAAGCCTAATAGCATAGTAATCGTCCACCCGCTGTCAAATGCGTATTGGAGATGCCCTCACTGAGTATACGATCGACAGACCAAAATGATGGCAATGAGTGAGGTGCTGACATATCCTGACCTCATGACAGGAGTATAATAGTTGGCCGGGGTAGTGATCGACGCATGAAACAGTGACCAGCTGATCTTTCTCGACAGTATCGAGCTGTGGCGACCAAACCCGGGATTGACGCGACGAAAAGGTAAGTAGTAAGGTATGAGTAGAAAATGAGATGAAGCTGTAGTGGGGAAACCCAAATAGGGAAAGGGTGGTGGATCACGTTATCGGGGTAGTTAGTATTACCAGATAAGGGACTCCCCCACTCTTTAACCGTTGGGTATGTTTTCAATTTTCAACACAATCTGACTGCATTGACTGCTTAATGCGAATGTCTTTGATTAGGAAAGGCTCCGAACCCTTTCAAGCTCATTACTTCATGTTCAGCTAAACCACTACCAAGCCAGCTCTGATCTGGCCATGCAACTCGCCGCTTCCAGCTGAGAACAGAACCTTTCCTCCTCTGCCAACTTCCCTGTCCTCATCTCCCCTGTCATCTTAGGGACAGCTGGCCAGATCTCCTCCCCGCCTTGGGCCTCTTCTTTTCGCCGGTGCTCCATGACCATTGTCTTCACGTCTTCTTGAAAATGGATGGGCCCCTGCCAACAGTCAGCTTTGCCCAATCTCACGTCTCTTTATGTCGAAGTCTCATACATACCTTCTCCTTGTCCGGGTGAAGCTCGCCATTGATAAACACACCCGCGCTCAAGTTTTCCTGTGCTCCAACACAGAGATCCTTGTCTTCATCTAGGACTTGTCGGTAAAACGCGTTGATGTTGGCAAACTCCTCGTCCGTTGCATCTCGGTGTCGATATACTTCGTTTTCGATCTTGCTGGTCGTCGCGCTAACTGGGATCATGCGCTGAATGTAGAAGAATTTATCTCTGCTCGTGTTAATTCACCATCGACCTCTTCCCTTTCCAATACAAACTTACGTGACCGTGACCGATGTGGTAGGGTAAAAGTATGTGATTGACCTCCGGAACTGCGCATCAATATTGTCCTTGTTGAAGATATGATGCTCCATATACCTCGCCTTAGGCTCAACCCGGTACCGAGGAAGATCCGACACTCCATTGATCAGTGGATGTGAGGTCGCGCAGTGGTAACATTCATTGTAGTTCTCGATCAGAAGCTTCCAGTTCGCCTCCACGTCCATCTCCCAGTAATGGTCAAAAGAATATTCCCCATCAAAGTCAAAATCCTGCATCCGCGGCTGCTCATCAATCTTTTGGAAGTCATCGTTCCACTTGACCTCCGGGTCGCCGGCCTCTAGATTCACCCAGACGAAGCCCGCTTTATCGATATGCACATGGATTGGGAGAAGCCCATGTTGGCTTTTGTCAAAGCTTGGTACAGTCTCGAAGCGAGGTGCCTTTGATAGGTTTCCCTTCAGTCCATAGGACCAGCCGTGATACTTGCAGCTGAGGATAGAGGTAGTTCCGGACCGAGCTTGGACAACCGGGTATGCACGATGTCGACAAATGTTGTGAAATCCGTTGATGTTACCGTCGCGGTCTCGAGTCAGGAAGAAGGAAAAGTTAGAGATGGTAAAGGAAAGAAAGTCGCCAGGCTTGGTAAGTCGACTGGAATGTGTGAGTAACATCCAACGCTTGGAGAAGATGGCTCGCCGCTCCAGCTGATACATGGCATCAGAGCGATACCATGACGCCGGAAGGCTCCGAGGTGGAGAGCTTTTCTCTGGGGTGCTGGAGGACTGGCCAAGTAATCGCCACATTGTGATGAAGTTTGTGGAACAAATTGTTAGGGTGGCTCAGAGAAGCTCGGATCATCACAGTGCCTATATAACAGAGCAGCGCTGGTAAGTGGGGTCTTGCTTCGGCGTTGTCGCATCAAAGATGGGGGCGTTGGGAGCTCGCCCGAGCACACCACTGATAAGCCATTGGATAAGGATCACTAGCTTATCTGTCACATCTAACTGATGTCCAGCCGTTCTCATCGGACCCAGAGAAGATTAAAGGAAATCATGGGTACTTATCCTCCTTTGGTCGCTGGTCGCTGCTACATATCGTCCCTTGGGTAGAAGGGGATTCCGAACCCCTTAACACTCCCCAATTCATGTCTTTAAGTAAGTGCTAAGCTCGAGTTTATTATATGCTATCTATTACATGTAGCAGTCGTTCAAGTCGTACTAAGGCTAGATATATTCTTCTATCCCAATGTCGAGTCTTTTTTGTTTCCCAGCTAGCCCGGCCGTCACTAGCCCAACTCACATTTTGCTCGTATTGCGCAGTTTCCTGAGCAGGAACGTCGCTGCTCCAATCAATACAGACCCTAATATCCCACAGCAAGCACCGAAAAGTTGCAGGCCGGAATAATCCGTGTAGTTCTGCTTTTCGAGAATGGCACCCATGATCGGCAACCCGGTGAGACAGCTGCCAAAGTTAGCAAGCAGGAAACTGAATTTGCTCGAACAACCTGATACTCACCTCACTGACATGATCAGCTGGAATGTTCCGAACCGCTGACCCAGGGTCTGCAGATCCCCCACTTTGGCAACACATGGCATCATCAGAGAGACAACAGCGCCACTGACAAAGCCGTAGACCGCCGCGAACACGATGATCCCTGCATGAGAAGGGTGGTAGTTGAAAGGAAGCCATAGACAGAGCATTGACACGCCGGTGCCGAAGCAGCAGAGTGTCAGGACGTTGAAATGACCAAAAACATCTGCCAACTGGGGAGGGATGAGACGCCCGAATATGGAGGCACCACTACATTTCCCGGAGTCAGCACTGAGATTTGCGAAAGAAAGCATCGCGCAGCCTTACTTGATAATGGAAATAAGATAGAGAGCAAGAGTCGATGAAAATCCCGCGTTCTCTGCCATGCTGGAAATATAGTCGAACGGCGCCCAGAGTCCCCACCTGTCACTGTCAGTCAATAACCAGGGTCATCGATCGGAATATTGACGAACATAATGAAGAATGCACCAGCGGTGTACAACCCAAACGCGGTATCCTTCAGCAGAGTCAGGTCAATCCACGCTGCTTTACCATTCCACTCCTTGCGCGGAAGACGGCTACGGATCAGCAGGCAGGCTACTGCCAGCATGATCCCGACGAATAGCGCTGTATACCGAACGGCACCATAGAAGCCGATGTCGTTGATGACCCGGTCCAGAAAGATCGGAAAGATAACACCCCCAAGTGAACTTCCAGATACAGCAATGCCAGTTGCAAGACCTCGGCGACGAACAAACCATTGGCCGACGCAAATCATGGCCGAAGTGAAAACACCGCCTGCGCCGATGCCAAAGCAGAGGCCTTGCGCAAGAAAAATCTGATAATACTCATGCGCCAGGCTAGTCATACAGAGTCCTAGCACGCACAGAATGCTACATGGCCAGAGGACCGGGATCGGGCCGTAAGTGTCAATTATGCGACCCCATAGCGGTCCCGGTGCCCACATGAGGGCCAACTGCACGGCGAAAATCCATGATATGTCGGACGCGTCGTAGTTTTTGAGTGACGTTTGCTGGTATGTTGTTTGAAAGACACCGATACTGTGACAAGATCAGTACGGAGTATGGGTAACAGTTTTAGCCCGTCGATACATACGCATTGAGGAACCCAAAGGAGGAGAATAGGGCGCAAAAGCCTCCAGCCACAGTCAGCCAACCCTTGACCCCTTCTTCAGGCGGAATGGTTGGCTCCTGTACCGGCTGGTTCTTTGGCTCGGACATGTTTGTCTAGCCCAGAACTCTCCAGCAGATATTGTTCTAATATATGTTCACAGCGCTTCTTGAATAATTAGGGATGTATGAGGCGAATGACAAATTCTCGGGGAAAAAAGCCTCCACAGGGTCCCGGACAGCGATTCGGTCTACGACTGGCTAAGTCCGACCGAACAAATGCGGGCGCTAAGATAAGTATCTGGGCTTCGATGAGAAGCTTCGTCTCGGGCCTTCGGCTCTCGTTATGTCCGATGGGGCCGACGCGACAAGGATCTTGCTCACCAGGGTCGCGCTAATTATGCGAACATTTGTCGCATTAGGCATGAAGTTAGCCGTGTCATTGCAAAGGCAAGTGCGATCTGACTCATTCAATATTGCATGTCTCTAATTGAAAGAGTATATGAGCTGTGTAAATTAATCGGACGTGGAGGAGCCTAGGGCTGGGTATTCAGCTGAAGAGCAGTGGTCTTTCCCCTCCGTTCGCGACCAGCTAAAGCTCACGAAGCGGCTGTGAGCGAGCCACACCAGGGAACCCTGGCCAGAAGACTCTCGAACCCATTATTGGGATGATGCGGCCCACATGGTATCCACTGTGTAAACTCTGATCCCAACTGCCGGATCCAAGTACAGAGCAATGAACTTCATGAACTACTGCAAGACGTGCCCAACATTGGGACGTGTGCATGCGACATTTGATCAAAGGATGACAGCAGTTAATAATACTACCTAATATCCCGTCAATACTTAGTCTTACGGCCGATCGAGAGTCACCTTCTGTCCACACATGATTGTGGATTGAGGATCGACTTGGGCATCAGCTTTGCTCAGGTCATAGCTTGGAGGTTTCTTGTCGGAGAATTTCGGATGTATCCGAAACGTCTGCTTGCAGCTGCCACACCGACATGAAAGAGGCACGTCGCATTCATCGGGCTATCCCCCGTCGCAAAATTGATGACGTGAACAGCACATTGCCCCCGCCAATCAGATGGCAGAGAGGTCTGAGGCTTTCCCGATGATCGTCAAGCGAGTTCCCTGGACGATGCCATCCTCCCCGATGGACAGCCATTATTCATCCGTCGGTTGAGACAGCTAGTCCGTTGGACCGAGCTACTTCAGGAACAGATGTAAAGCTTGACAGCGCCGTCTACAAATGGTGCAGGCTTTGATTTCTTTGAGGATGCTCGGGTTCTTTTGGTAAAGGGACAGTCATCAGACATGCACATTACGAAGAACCCCCGGCATTTGGTCGCATTAAGGTGCAGTAGTAGGAAAAACATGTCAGGCTAGAAGACTCCTTAGTGCTTGCGTGGGTGTGAACATTGTCCAAGATCACCACAAGCGGCACCCAGCAGGGGTTCAGCCGAACAGCCCCGTGGCTGCATTTGGCAGGGAGCATCCTTGTCGACTTGCATAGTAGATGTAGCTGCTAGGATTTGTGAGTTCGAGCTGCGCAGTCATACAAGTGATCAATGCTCAAGCCGTGTGCCGGCCACGTGCTTGAGGACAAGCTGTGTTTCCAGCAACCTTCCTTCCCACTGCTCCTTTGCAGTGCACCAAGTGGCTATCTGTAAAATCTTCCCATAACCTTGCTACGATCGGGGCTTTCCAAGCATATGTTCGAATGCGACCGCGCGACAAGAATAACTGAACGAGTGGCCAATCAACCGTGGACTAGAGAGGTCAGTGTTATCCCTACAGTCATACCTAAGCCGAGTAAACTTGAAAAAGAAATAGCAAAAGAAGAACATGATGAGATCAACCGGTGCGCCCTAATGGTGAATGGACATAATAGCAAATTAGCAATAGCTGTTGTCACAGGCGCTATAGAAAAACTGTATAACGTCTGGAAGAAACATCTAGTCCTTTTGGAAACAACAAGGTTCCCCTATTGCACATAATCAATACCTTCTTCCTGGGCATTATTAGGATGGCCATCGTCCTTTATAGTCGACAGTCATTCATGATCCTAATGGTGGACCGAGGCCAGGCCGGGGCATATAGCCGACCCCAGAGAAGCCGCGCCCCCACGGTCGGCGATGTTCTCCGGTCGGGGATGCCCTCAAAAAGCCTAGGTTATCCCCACGAAGAATCCCAATCAATCTAACAACCACCACCATGCCTACCACTCGTCCCATTGTCCGCGCGGCATGCCATAACATCTCAAGCATCCGGCATGCGTCCACAAATACTGCCAAAAAAGCAGGTCCCCTGGCTGGCATCACCGTCGTCAGTCTGGAACAAGCCATAGCCGCACCCTTCTGTACTCGCCAATTAGCCGACCTAGGAGCCCGAGTCATCAAAGTCGAACGACCCGGTGTCGGGGACTTCGCCCGCAACTACGACACCCGCGTTAATGGATTAGCCTCCCACTTCGTCTGGACCAACCGGTCCAAAGAAAGTCTCGCCTTGGACCTCAAAAAGCCGTCCGATCACAGCGTGCTAATGCGCCTGCTCAGTCGCGCCGATGTCCTCGTCCAGAACCTCGCCCCGGGCGCCAGTGCCCGGCTGGGATTATCCTACGCGGATCTCAAAGCCGCTCATCCTTCCTTGATCGTGTGCAATATCTCCGGATATGGTCCTGACGGACCGTACCGCGATAAGAAGGCCTATGATCTGCTGATCCAGAGCGAGGCCGGCATGCTCTCCGTCACGGGGACAGGGAAAGAGCCGGCCAAGGTGGGCATTTCCATCGCAGATATTTCCGCTGGTAGCTATGCCTACTCGAATATCCTGGCGGCATTGTATCAGCGGGAGAGGGATCCCGCCAGGCGAGGATGTAACATTGATATTTCAATGTTGGAGAGCATGGTTGAGTGGATGGGGTTCCCCATGTACTATACCTATGAAAATGCCCCGGGTCCGACGCCTGCTGGTGCTTCGCATGCGGCTATATACCCTTATGGTCCGTTTGAGACGGGTGATGGGACGGTGATGTTGGGGATTCAGAATGAGCGCGAGTGGGCGAAGTTCTGTGATATCGTATTGGGTCAAGCTGAGTTGGCTACGGATGAGCGGTTCGTGAACAATTCTCTGCGGTCGCAGAACAGAGAGGAGCTGAAGCAGATCATCTGCGATGTCTTCTCGTCGCTTTCTGCGGAGCAGGTAATTGCTCGACTGGATGAAGCGGCGATTGCGAATGCCAGCGTCAATGACATGCAAGGCGTCTGGAACCATCCTCAGCTAAACGCCCGGCAGCGATGGACTGACGTTAAGACTCCGGCGGGGACTGTGCCGGCTCTGTTGCCTCCTGGAATGACCATGGGTGATGCGGATACTTATGGGGCGCGCATGGATGCGGTCCCTGATGTGGGTGAGCATAACAAGGCGATTCTGGCCGAGTTGGGGCTCGAGGAGGGTACGGAGAAATAGTGGTAGAATAAGTTAGACTCTTTACAGATGGGCTAGTACCTAGACTTGGCTATACCTACGAGTGTTAAAATTTTGATTCCTTGTTAATACGTAAGAGGACTGGCTGGTGTTGCCACTCAAAGGTTAGAGGTACGTAGACTGCATACTGATCAGACGTAGAGCTAGTGGTTCGCATCATGAAATTTGCACTCAATCTCTATCCGAAACAAGTTACTGCTGCGTATTCTTCATTTTTCTCACTGTGGCAGGTTCGACTTGGCCGTGAATATCGGCACCATATCCCCATCGCCGAAGCAGGTGGATCGGGAAAGCAGGCAAAAAGCCGACATCCTCGCCAAGACCGAGGTAGCATAAAGCCGCTTTATCCTCGACTACGGCTACTTGCATTCTTCCCTGGTCACCTCTGAACTCCGCTGCGGACATTCTCTCTTTCAATAGTAGCTGGAACTAACTCCAGAATCATGTCCAGTCAGGAGGCCTCAGGTCACCGACAGGTGAGAACCAGAGCCAAGCAGGCTTGTCTCCACTGCAACCGGCGACGAATCCGCTGCAATGTGCTACAGATGCGCCCATGTCAGAATTGTCTCTCGTTGAATGTGCCCTGTGAGATAGGCGTTTCGAAGCGAGGAAAGTATGCTTTCCTTATTCTCAATGTGGCCGTGGGACGTAGACTGATTCATGGCATAGATATCCTCGTAAGAAGACTGCCCGGCAACATGCTATGTCACAAACGGACGGCAATTCGGTCCAATTGCCGGCATCATCGGGGAAAGGAAGAAGCCATTCCTCAACGTCACCATCGGGTGGTAAACACGAAGAAAGAGAGCCGCATGTTCATCCGATGTCAGGGGATGCTGCCAGTGCCCACCAGACGGTGTTCTTTGGCGAATCCAGTCCACTCACTGTAGTCATTGACGAAGGGCGCCGATCGCCTGAGAAGGGGAGTAGTGAACTGCACATGACTCGCTTTCACTATCCCATTCCAGAGAAGCTCAACGCTTTCAATACACGGGATGAGGCTTTCCGTGCGCACAAAGTCAAGAAGGAAGACCAGCTTAAAGCTGACGGGGCCTTCTCGTACCCTCCGCCAGAGACATGTGCAATTCTTCTGCGGGCGTACTTTGACTGGTTTCATCCCTGTTTCCCGATCGTTGATCGTACTGCTGTGTATGAGGGCTATGCGCAAGGGAGCTTGTCACCCCTGCTCCTCCAGGCTATGCTGTTCATTGGCGTAAGCCTTTGCACGGACGAGGCTTTTGCCCAGACGGAGTTCCCTGTTCGATACTGGGCGAAATTCCTTTTCTACAGCCGAGCAAAGGCGATCTATGATGTGGATTGGGAGTCTAACAAGACGGTCAAAATTCAATCGTTGTTTCTGTTGAGCTTCTGGCGTGGAGGTCCTTCTGAAGAGCGGGACATTCGATTCTGGCTGGGCATTGCCATTGACTTGGCTCAAAAGCGCGGCATGCATTTGATGTATGTATTTTCTAATGCTCCATCTCACCTGCTAATTCAATCAGGTCGAAGTTTTCTTTTGGGTCCGGTCGAGAAGCGGGGCTATGGAAGCGGATTTGGTGGTCACTTTACGTATGTCATCTCTCATAAACCTGGTGTCAATACTCATCGTTGTCAGGCCCGAGACCAGCAAAGCGCCGCAGCACTTGGGCTTCCGCCGCACATTCGGGACGAAGACTGCGATGTCGCCATGCTCGAGCCAGATGATATCCAAGAAGAGGTAGCTGGAGGACAAGGTCTTTTTGGCGTGCAGTGTATAGAAGATCTCCGTTATCCGGCCGAGATGGCGAAGTTGGCCAAACTATGTATGTCTGAACCTCCCGACTTGGAATCTTTGCTTACTGTTCAGTGCGTTCTATTGTATCGACCCATTATTCGCCGGTATCTTCGTCATCCAGCGGTACGTCACGAGCGGTGCTGCATAAGCAACTGGTGGATTGGGAATCCAATATGCCTCCTGAGCTGAAGCTCGAAAACGCCACAACTCCGCGAGCCAGATTTCTAGCGGGACTCTTACAAATGACATACCAGTAAGCAACATGTATTTCACTCGAATTGACTCCCCTGACCTGTCAATGTCTAGAAACCTCTATGTCCTGCTTTACCGACCGTCATTTCTCAATCCATCGGATGGGAAGTTCGACAGCCAAGGCCAGATAGCCTTGGATGCTGCGACCAAAAGCACACGAGTATTGGAGGATATGCTCTCGCATAATTTGGTCCAACATGGACCTCCACATCTGTAAGTCCTCGTCGATAATCCATACATGTATCAAACTGACCATGTAGAATTACCCACGCGTTTTCAACCCTCTGTATTCACACCATCGAGTTCCGTCGCTCATCTGGGACAGGTCGCAAACTGGCGGAACACCGAGCCAGACTTTGTCTCTTGAGCCTACAGGAGCTGCAAAAATCCTGGGACTTGGAGAACTGGGTATTAAACCTGTTCTTCCGATGTTTGGATGATAGCACTGCCCGTACTCTGCGACCGGTCGATGCCACTGCTCCTCCCCCAAAGACCGAAGCCCGCGATTTTGTCCCTGCCACCCCAGATGCTTTCCCTGCTCTCAATATGAACCCAGAGGGACACACGCTCGATGCACCTTGTCAATCGGCGCACTCGCAGTATCCCACTGGTGATATTAGCGCCCCGAGTGATTGGTACGGGCTGTTCAATTTTGCCGAGGATTATACCGACATTTCGGGGGTCATTCCCAGCCACGACCCGTCTATAAATCTGCAAAATTTGGAGTTTCTCTACCGATTCCTATGACGAAATCTGTCCCACTTAAAAAGTCTGCACTCTCAATGGCGGCGACCGCACTTTTCCCAACCTAGTCAACAAGTTCAGCTCGGAGGAGGATCGTCTTGGCAGAGTTTGGTACTCGATCGCGCTAAGCGGGCAAGGCGTGGAGCACCGTCCGCGTGCGAGTCAGTCAGCTCACTCCCTGCCGAGGCCAGGCTGATCCCGTATTAATTCCTGGCTTCCCCTCTGTCAGATCGACCTCAACCTCATCTTTAATTTGATCTTGTCTTACGGCACCATGTTCGGTGACTTTCCCGTCGACAACAAAATCGTCCTGGTGACGGGAGGAGGATCCGGTGAGGCCTCAATTTGACCCTCACTTCACCCCTTCTCCACATCACACTAACGCACCACTCAGGGATCGGGTTGCAGCTCTGCCGCCAGGCCGCCGCCAAAGGCGCCCGAATCATCATTGCCGATCTGCGCCTCATTCCCGAAGCCCAACAGTTTGTCGACAGCTCCGACGCCGTCATTTTCCAGCGCTGTGACGTCCGTAACTGGGCCGAGTTGCAAGCCCTCATCCAGCTTTCGCAAGACAAATGGAACGATGTACCCGACGTGTATGTCGCATCAGCTGCCATCTTTGAACCCGTACGTGTTTCTTCCTAACCAAGCATCTCTCGTTTCATCAAATACTTCACGGTCTCCTCGCTCACGAAATTTAAAATCAGTCATGGTCCAGTTTCTGGGAAGACAAGGAAACGACCGACTACGCGTGTATCGACATCAACGTGAACCACCCTATCAAGCTTACTCGACTGGCCATCCGAGCTCTCCTGGGTAAGGACAAGAAGGGTGTCGTATGCCTGGTCTCTTCTATCGCGGGAATAAATGCTTCGATCCGAAGCCCCCTGTACTGCGCATCCAAACATGCCATCTGGGGCTTCGTCAAGTCGATGACCATGCTTGACCACTTGGAGGGCGTGAAAGTCACCTCCATCTGTCCAGGGTATTCCATCCCCTTTTATCCGTCGAGTCTCCGATTTCCTAGAGCATGCTAACGTCAACCAGCGTTGTCCCCACGCCTCTGTGGGACTCCGTCCCCGGTGTCCGCAAGCATCTATCCTATGACCGAGTAAAACATGTCCCGGCCGCAGAAGTGGCAGAGTACATGCTCGAGCTGATCCAGCAGGGCAAATACCCCGGCGGTTCAGTGGTGGAGATTACCAGCTCCGGCCCGGACGGACGTAGAGTCATCCCGCCGTGGAATGTCTCGCCACCGAATGTGTATGCCGGTGCGGATAAGAAGATGCTGGCTAACTTCATCGAACCGGTCCGCGCAGCGTTGAAGAATGAGCGGAAAGCGAAGCTGTAATCATTATACCCTTAGTTAATGCAATCGACAATGACACCTATCGCATCAAGAGAGTATTCAGTTTGGCAGTATTCTTCCCGTCACTTCGATCCGATCTTAGCAACTAACACAGAATAATGCTAGACTCATGTCTCTATTGACCTGATGTGTTTGGCCTGACTACGACTCTTCTCTCCACGTAATCTCCCGGCTGCAATGCGATCAATTAGTCACTAGCATCTAGATTCCACTATAAACGCATCCTATAGCATTGAACTCTGGTCAATCACGTGGCAAAGCTTTCTGAAACTTTGCATTGTAGGGTCGCTCCATGATTAAAACTACCGGCATATATAGAGGCACGATAGAGAGACTCTCTTAACATGACCCATCCTCAGAAAGCTTGCGCATTAAGTCAGAAAAATGAATTATGCTAGTTAAGCACGAGCGTTTTTACTGATTTGTTTCATTGATCGTCGGTGTATTGATTACTAATCATAGTAAGCCCATGGCTTTCGTATTAGGAATTATATGGATGTGATAGAGATTTTATAGAAGTTATATACAGTGATATATAGGTACTGATAGTTATATAACAGTATAGACGTAAGCTATATCGTGTGGATAAATAATGCGATAGCTCTCAAATATGTCCTTTTACGAATAATTGGATACATAAACCATATACTACGGTTCATTACCTATGGAGGTTCATTAAGCTGGGCGATATTTTTTTTGACCGTTATATGATGATAATACAACCATTAATACATATTTGCATGTCTAGGTACTTTACGAACACTTTGTCTACTATCTTGATTTTAGGCACCTCTTGGGGACCATTTGGGTGATGGTTGTGTTGTGGTATAAGTTCGTAGTACTAGGTGCAATGAACACAGCCGAAAAATATATTTAGGCACAAGACTAGTAGTAGGTTGTATTACACCTAGTACGGGTCTACATAATCACTCGCGTCTTTCACTATTGTAAATTGCGATCGATTGTTTGTGTCATGAAGCTGCAATTCTGACTATTTTACATAAGTCTCTTTTATATTATCATGTCTATTCTCACGTTGTCATATCTGGTGGTTTAGCAACCCGCAAGACGTCCCCAAAGTTGAGTGCAGGATACATATCTTTCCTGATCCCAGATTAAATGTCCGATACGGAATCTCAATATTACAAGTTGTATATCTTTCCGATGCCAATGGGCGAAAAATAGCTTTATGGGAAAATTGAAACTTAGTTCTACGATGATAACAGAATCTATGGTATACATGGCCAGCCGAGAGAGCTTCCAGATGACAATTTTCCAATGCAGCTGGGTAGAGAGACTGGAATGTTCTGTCGCCTTATCTTGGACAGCCCCAGAAACCATGTAACGGCTCTCCTAGGCCTTGCTAAGGGTGTCTGGCGAATGATTTTGCTGCACGTGGTATATTAAATTCTAGCAAATATGGTTTATGATGATTCGACATTCAGACGAAACACTATGCTCCTGAAAGAGCGTACATCGTGCAAGGATTTGGCACCTACTTAGTAATGCCGGAAGAGCTCGAGGTGTCTTGGACTGCTCCATGGGAGTGATGGCAGGATATCCAGAGACTTGGGGGTGCGCTATGCTCTATAGAGCATCAGGAACAGAAGGGATCACCTGATCCGACTAATCGAGCCTATCACCGCTTACTCTTACTCCCTCTCCATCGCAATGACCCTCTACTTCTCACTTTAGCTTCCTCACTTGGAATCTAGGGCGTGGCCGAAGATTTACCCGGTACTGCATGGCGCAGCGTAGCAGTTGAACGCTTCCAATGAACATGTTATAGAGACCATGCATGATCGGGGAAGCCTTCGCTGAGAGATCGGAATACAGGCTCTCTGCCTCATGGATTCTGATAGATGGGTCCTCGAGCCCCCACTGTATGAAAGCCTTGGCCAAGAGTATAGTCACTCTGAGCTCATTATGATCAGGCCATAGCATCATGCCACAATGCCTCTGCCCAACATAAGACGAGGACCCTGCCTACTTGCTCAATCCTGTGCTATGATAGAATCGAACAGCAGCACGCCAGCCGGCGAGGGGCCGGCTGGCCTTATTGACATAGTGACTTACTATTCAGCTCGGAAAGGCCTCGGAAGCCATTGCGTTGTTGCGTCGGACACTCCCGGTTCCTGCAGGACCATGTACTTCATTGTTGCTTGAGGGAATAACCCCCACCAACCAACTCATAATGACCGTTCTGACTAGGCAGTCAATGAAAGCATTCCTCTCCAGTCCGACTCCGAGGTGCGCAAAGGCTCGAGACGTGTTTCTTTAGCTGAGACACTTCTTCCTTATCTGACGGCTGAATCTAAATGGGTGAATCCTCATCCGGGGGTTTCCACCGACTTGCCCCCCAAGGTTACCGGCTTATCAATCGTGACTCAACATGATACTCCAGAATCCTGCAGGTGTTTAGTGCGGGATTGATAGGGACACCACCCCACTGCGGTCCTTCATCATGCTTGAAGTCGAGAGATTACATTGGAGTGCCAAGGGAAAGCTCCCATGAGGGGGTTATTGCCCAATGGCAGGCATTCAGTTTCATCTACTCGACATGAGGAGTATGTAGGCCGCCGACGGAGCCCGGCTTCACCTACCTGATCAGGTTTATCTCCGGTAACGGATCATTATTGACCGATGCGCTGCTGACGATCGCTATCGTGCACCGCCATGGTGGCATACCCGTCTTCTCGTTCTCGCCGGTAGTGGTTTATTCCCCGTATTCTTCCCCCCCAAGCGATGACCCTGAGCCGTGTCTAGGTCCCCGCTGGGCCCAGTACCAGTTATGCTCAAAATAGATCTGATTTCAAAGGGTCGCTTCGCTATCGAAGGGACGATGCTGACGACGCGTCGGGTCTGGATGCGGAAGGTGGATTGTGGATCTGCGACCTTCCCGAAGGAACGCCGTCTGGGGTTAAATTCTAATCCGACTTCAATCTATCTGGACGTTCGAGGTCCTCATCCTGCGCAGCTCGCAGCATCGCCAAGCAGACTTATGCAGCTCTAATAAGCTGTCTGCAGCAGTGGCTAGCTAGTCTGTCCCGGTTGGGTCGACCTATTTGACAACTCTGTCGGGTGCGACCGTTTGTCTTTTCGGGAGGATACCTGTTCCTTTCTGTTGAGAGATGTGTGTAGGCTTCATCTCGAGACCTGAAGGCCATCCTGTAAGGTATCTTTACTGGGAAGTATATGGAGTGGGATGCTTACTGCGACACATCTGGGTCAGAGATCGAAGTAACCTGCCAATGAGACCATTCCGACAGGGCATGTGAAGCAGAGATGGTGTTCTCTGCTCACGGTGGGCCGAACCGAGTGGACTCTTCCCATAGTCGAGCCGGCCGATCTCCCAGTATCCTTCAACGGATTACATTTGCTGCGGACTGTCCGGAGAGGTCATTCGGCCCGCCGGTGTCTGCAGGAAGTCCTCCGCCAGCCAGTGAGAGACAATGCATTATTATTCGTGTCGGTTGGCCCCCGATCGTCGTGATCAGCACTTCCCAGCGAATTAGTTTCGCGCTGGTTTTTAGTCCGCGCTCGCTCTCGTCGAATCCGATTTCCTCACGCTGGCTTGGCATCTCCATCGCGGCTTGGCACAACCACCTGAAGTCTATGCGCCTTCCACATCCGGCACCCTGGTTACTATTCCCAGCATCCTTTCCTTCCATCACTCCGAATATCTGCAGAAACTTAGGTTATGATAACCTGGAACGATAGTTGCCATCAACTCCTCCACTCACCCACAATGCCCAGGCTGTGGAGAATGTGGGTGGAAGAATCCTATTGTGGGAGGTTTACATCACAGCCATTCACAGCGGCCGCTCTGGCAGGATGGCCTTCTGCCACTGACGGTCTGGCCAGCTCACTCAGTATGCTTCTCTACATGGCTGGTATCTCTTTTGCTTGTGCAGCCTATCACAGTCCAGATGATCCAGTCTCCATCAGCTCCATCCTTCGGAGTATATTGGCCACGACCTCATTGAAACCTGAGGAAGACACACCTGAGGACCATGGGCGAAGCTCGCCATCGGTTGCAACACTGATGCCAAGTGATCGACCTTGTTTGCAGGACGATCATCCCTCGGTGCACCGCAGGTACCTGTATTGGATCGGCTGCACGAGAATTTCAGTCGCATCGAGACAAGGATGCCGAATAAACTATTACCCACCACAGCGTGATATTGATTGTACCGGACAGGAATCGGGATCGCGAAATCACTCCAAGATAGCTATATAAACCCCTTGGACATACCCTCCCAAATACCTCTTCAGTCTCCCACTCGCATCGCAAGCATCCTCGCATTGTCAAGCATCTCTGCAACACTTCTCCCGGATTCAATATGCAAATCAAGAACGTCCTTAACTTGGCCGTCGTCGGCAATGCCCTCCTGGCCACCGCCCACCCGGGTCACCATGAGGAGCGTGAGGCCCTTCAGCAGCGCTCCTTCAAGCGCAGTGTGGCCCACGGTCTGCAGAAGTGTGAGGCCAGCCTGGAGGCCAGCGGCCTTCACGCCCGCGCCGAGGCCCGTCGCCGCGCCGTGGTCGATATGCACCGCCGTCAGCTGCAGGCCCGTGGCGACACCGCTGAGGTGCTGAACAAGTCGCACCTGTCCACCCGTCCCATCTCGTCCAGCACCCCCGAGACCGAGGTCTTCAACGACGACAAGAAGATCTGCCTCCTTGGACCCAGCGCTGAGGGTGAGACCGGACCCTACTGGATCCCCGGTGAGCACATCCGCGGCAACATCCGCGAGAACGAGCCGGGTATCCCTGTCACCGTCGAGCAGCAGTTCATTGACGTCGAGACCTGCCAGCCCCTCACTGGCATCTACACCGAGATCTGGGGCTGCAACGCCACTGGTGTCTACTCTGGCCTGGTGGCTGATGGCAACGGTAACTCCAACGACCTGGCCAACTACAACCGCACCTTCCTCCGTGGTGTCCAGAAAACCGATGAGGACGGAGTGGTGACCTTCAACACCCTGTTCCCCGGTCACTACGCTGACCGCACCACCCACTACCACAACGTTG